CCAACCCAAGGATCAAACCCAGGTCTCATGTCCCCTGCTCTGGCAGGCAGGTTCTTGACCACTAGTGCCATCTGAGAAGCCCATATGAACTCATAGACTGTATTTTTTTTTCTGGTTGGCACTTACCTCATTTGTTTGCTATATTTTTTATCTATTGCTGCATCACAAATCACCCCAAAACCCCATGGCTTAAAACAACATTTATCATCTCCAAGATCCTGAGACTCAGAAAGAGGAGCAGCTTGGCGGCTGATTCTGGCTCAGAGTCTCTCACGAGGCTGCAGGCAAGAGGTCAGCCAGGCTGCTGCCATTTACAGTCTCACCGGGAACTGGAGGATCTGCTTGCGTGTGGCCTGTTTCTTTTCATACATGCCTCGCGTTGGGCTTTCCGAGTCTCTTCAGAACTGGGCAGCCGGCTTGCCTAGAGCTCCCGAGCACGACAGAGCAGATGAGAAGGAAGCCCTGTGTCTTCATGACCTCTGCGTAGAGGACACATACGGCCACTTCTGCTTTATTCTCTTTGTTAGAAACAAGTCGTTACGTCCATCCCACACTCAGTTCAGTTGCTCAGTCGTGTCCAATTCTTTGTGACCCCATGGACTACAGCACTCCAGGCTTCCCTGTCCATCACCAACACCCGAGTTTACTCAAACTCATGTCCACTGAGTCGGTGATGCCATCCAACCATCTCATCCTCTGTCATCCCCTTCTCTTCCTGCCTTCAATCTTTCCCAGTGCCAAGGTCTTTTCTAGTGAGTCAGTTCTTCGTATCAGGTGGCCAAAGTATTGGAGTTTCAGCTTCAGCATTGGTCCTTCCAATGAATATTCAGGACTGATTTCCTTTACGATGCACTGGTTGGATCTCCTTGCTGTCCACACTCAATGGGAGGACAATTAGATTCTACCTAGTGAGGGAATTTGGGGATAGATTTAAGACTACCCAGGGTAAGTTAGGGGCTTCCAAGATGGCACTAGAGGTAAAGAACCCACCTGCCAATGCAGGAGACGCAGATTCAATCCCTGGGTTGGCAACCCACCCCAGCATTCTTTTCTGGAGAATCCCTTGGAATGGATAGAGGAGCCTCTCAGGTGCTACCGTCCATGGGTCACAAAGAGTCAGATGCGACAGAAGCAACGTAGTGCACATGCACGCATGGGTAGGTATTTCAGTAAACGGTTTCCTCTCTAACTAGACTAAGGGTTCCTTGAGTACTGGACCCACGTTTCTGCAGTTCACTGTGTATCTCTGGCACTTTCCAGAATGCCTGGCAAAGTACAAGTGAAAGAGAGAAGGAAAGGAGGAAAGAAAGGGAGAGAAAAAGAAAGAAGGAAGGAAAAGGGAAGGGAAGGAGTGAAGGAAGGAATGGAGAGAGGGAGGGAAGAAGTTTTCATTTGAATCCCTGCCCTGGTGAACACTGAACACTGTACGAATCCTGGGGCCTTAGATCTGACTTTGGAGAATGGGGATAATTACAGCTACCTCTCTGGCTGTTCTGAGAAATAAAATAATACAGCCAATGTGATGAATCTGGATTGTCCGGCGTGGAAGGGGCTCATCAAATGTCACTTCTCTTCACCTTCAGCGACACACGCCATCCATCTCAAGGCACGTGGATTCTCCTTCTCACTACGTCTGTCCCAACGCTCCTAATCTGTGCTCCATCCCTGCTGTGGTCACCACACACCCCTTGCTATTGAGCTCCTAACAATTCCTTGTGTCTCTAGTTCCACGCAGTCTATGCCCCGCAACCCTATTCATTATCTTCAACTCCAGCCCTGATCATTCACTCCTTTTTCGAAGGGTTTATTTTGTCCAAACCCTCCCACAAACAGGGCCCAGTGGAACTTCCCAACTTCATGCCTCACTAACACCCTAGATACACCCTCTGGGAAGGCTACCGCTCCGCAAAGGGTGGAAGGCTGGCATTGAGTCATTCACTTTTGGGTCCTATTGTGGCTACTCTGCCTTGCACTTGGTAAATAAATAGTAAACTTCTGTGCAACTGAATTCCAGATCCCTCTCAGTTCCTTGTTTGTGCCGAGTTAATAATACATCCCAGCTCAGGCGCCAGAGTGACAGAGACACCAACAGCGATGAGTAGAGATTGCACTTTCAGTCACCTGTAACCACATTCTCCTCATGTCTCTACACAAACCAGACGGCTCACAAACAGCAAATTCTTTAGCAATTACAGAGTATAATGTGGGTTACATTTTTCTCACATTCAAGTACCTTCGTTTTAATACTAACGGAACCTCTGTGCTCATTTTTAATGCTCTATAAACCTTTCATTACTGCTAATCACAAGAACATTGCAAATATATTTGAAGAGAGAAAATTCTTAAGTGATTCTGTGTTACATAGATGATAAGCAATGTAAATAAGATTGGGGGGGTTGTCAAATGAATGAAAAGATGAACATGACAATGAGAATTTTCGCCTTTAGATTTCCCTTGCAATGCTATAGAAGTAGACAGTGCTTGCATATTTTTTTCCTGAATTTTATCTCTCTCTATTTACGGCTGTGCTGGGTCTTCGTCGCTGCCCGCAGGCTTTCTCTAGTTGTGGTGAGCAGGGCTACTCTCTGGTTGCGGTGCGCGGGCTTCTCAATGAGGGGGCTTCTCTTACCGCAGAGCCAGGCTCCAGAGTCTGTGGGCTCGGTAGTGGTGGCTCACGGGCTCGAGGGCTCACGCAGCCTCGGTAGTTAGGATGCGCTGGCCTAGTTGCCCTGTGGCAAGTGGAATCTTCCTGGCCCGGGGGTCAGACCTACGTCCTCTGCACTGGCAGGTGGATTCTTAACCACTGGACCACCAGAGAAATCTTGTTTCCATGTTTTTAAAGAATAAAATCTGCTTAAAACTCACACTCCTATGGTGAATCACTGTGTTGTACACTTGAAACTAATATGACACTGTTTAAAATCAACTATACTTCAATTTAAAAAATCAAAAACATGTATACACAAACCTAGAGAGATGCTGGCTTTTGAGTCATGAATAGGTATCTTTTGGGAACACAGTAAAATTTCAGGCTGAGACTGATATGAAAACCATTTAGATATGCAGAGATATGAAAACTATTTACTTAGTGTCTCCTACATAATAACAAGTGTGTTTAAGTATTTTGACCTTGTAAGATTATTTCCATTCTAGTAGAATGGAGAGATTTTGGAAATTTATTTCCCTGCTCCCCCCTCCCCCCTGCCATTTTCTATAAGGTGCCACGACTGCTTGAATTCCATAAATATGTGTAACCTTCTTCAGGTGAGCAGTGAACAAAAACTAATTCTTGTATATAAAGATCAGTAACTTACCACTGATCCACTCCATTAACCTTAGAAATATATAAATTTAGTGAACAAATCCTCCTCTATATTAGTATTTAGATCTTGAGATTACTGAAAAAAGAAGATTCTAACAGGATAATAGGGACTTTCACCTTTGGTTAAATGTTTGTTTTTTTGTTGTTGTTTCATTTTGCTTTTTCTATCTTTGGCATTTTATTTTTGTTGTTATTTTAATTGGGGCATAGCTCCCTTACAATGTGGGTTGCTGCTGCACAAAGAAGCAGATCAGCCATATGTATACACACATCCCTCCATCTTGGACCTCCCTCCCTCCCTCCCCCATCTCACCCATCTAGGTCATCACAGAGCCCCAAGCTGAGCACTCTGAACTCTACAAAGCAGCGTAAGTGTGAATAGGCTCACATAACATTTCAAATTGAGATCCATCAAAAAGCTTCATCTTACAAATGAGAAGACTGAGAGTGAGGATGCTAAGACCTTATGAAAACACACCACATGACAAGAAACCCATGGCCCTGCATCACATTTCCCCTTGGCATTGTGCCCGACTGCCCAGTGATTACTCTGAGGTACATCAACCTCGGTGCCACTAGCACATTGAAAGTCTTAAGTCAAAGTCAAAGTCGCTCAGTCAAGTCTGACTCTTTGTGATCCCTTGATCTCCAGGCCAGAATGGGTGGGTAGCCTTTCCCTTCTCCAGGGGATCTTCCCAACCTAGAGATTGAACCCAGGTCTCCCGCATTGCGGGTGGATTCTTTACCAGCTGAGCCACAAGGGAAGCCCAAGAATACTGGAGTGGGTAGCCTTTCCCTTCTCCAGTGGATCTTCCTGACCCAGGGATTGAACCAGGGTCTCCTGCATTGCAGGCGGATTCTTTACCAACTGAGCTATGAGGGAAGCTCAAGTGAAAGTCACTCAGTCATGTCTGACTCTTTGTGACCTCATGAACTATATGGTCCATGGAATTCTCCAGGCCAGAACACTGGAGTGGGTAGACTTTCCCTTCTCCAGGGGATCTTCCCAACCCAGGGACTGAACCCAGGTCTCCCTCATTGCAGGTGGATTCTTTACCGCTTGAGCCATAAAGGAAGCCTGGGCCAAATAATTCTTCATTGTTGTGATGTTGTCCTATGCATGGCGGGATGTCCAGCAGCATCCCTGGCCTCTCCTCTCTAAATGCAAGTAGCACCCCCATCCTAGGCAAGACAACAACTAGAATTTTCTGAATGTCCCTTGAGGGCATCAACCCCAGTTAATAACAACTGGTTTACCCCAGGCCATCTTAGGTCTTTAATCAACTATTCTGTTTCACGTTTTCTGGGCAAATACTTTAAGACATTAATGCATCATTGCAGGATAGAGCTCTAAATTATTTATTTGAGAAACTACAATCTTACCAAGAAAAGAGACTTTGCTGCTTTTTTGGCACTTCCAAATACAACTAAGAGCAAATTCTGACTAGGGTTAGCTTATGCCAACTTTTAGCATAAATTAAGGTTAAGAAAGAAACAAAATACAGACTGGAGAGTTTTGATCCATGTTTAATGAAAAAGAAATTACAAGAATAGAAATGGACATAAAACAAAGAGATCAATTTGGGGAAATATTGTGATAGATAGAACAGGGGAAAATCATTTTAATCCTGAATTTACTCATGTATTCTTATTAGTTATCACTGACCCAAAACAGAGGGGTAGTTAGAATTTTATTGATGTTTACATGGGAACTCACCAAAGTAATGTCCAAACAATACCTTTCCATTTCCCCCAGAACACACACAAGCAAAGGCAGAAATGTTTACCAGGAGGTAATGTGGTGTGAAGAAAATGCACCTTTATCAGTTTTTTATTACAACAGCAAGTTAGCACTACAAATATGGGCTGACACAGACATACCTGCTGCTAATATTTTCATAAGAAAGCTTTTATGATATGCAACCATGCATTCTTAGTGCAATCAATCATGGAGGGATTAAACCTAACTGGTGAACATAAATATATGCAGTGAAGTATCTGACAGTTCACATTGGAGCACAGTTGAAAAATTAAAGACATGAAATTTAAAAATACACCAATGTAAAACTGCAGTGGGCATCTTACTAGGCTGTTTCATGGCCGAATTCTGCTTGTGATTCTTAGTAGAAACAGTCAATGTTCTCTATCATTTTCTACCCGGATACATACAGTATGATCATATCTTGCTAAATAAGGAAAAAAATGTTTTGAAATGAATTCTGATCTCTAAAAACATTCGGTAAAGGTTTGTTCTCATTATCTTATTTAAAAGAAAATAGCCCTTCTGTCCAACTAGATTGGCAAGCATGCAATCATTAGTGTAGACCTTGGCCGTGTGTGTAATAAGGAGAAGCGACAGATTTTACTAGCTACCCCTTGAAAATAAAAAATGTTTTGGCCAGTGCTCAGCAGTCACCAACCTCTTATGCTCACATTGAATCATGTCAGGTTAGGACGAGCCCTGTCTCTTCTGATACTGTATTCTGAGTTTCTCCAGTTGTTCTACACACTGGGACTGGGCCAGCTTCAGCGTCCGATTCTCCTCCGTCAGGGCCTCGAATTCCCGAGCCAGCTGAGCGGCATCCAGCTTCTCCTTCTCTGCCTGATCCAGCTTGGCAATGAGCTCCTTTCTGAAGATGCATGGGGCAGGTGAGGCAGAAGCACAAAACGTAATGAAACAAATTAAATTACACAGCAACAGCATACTGGAAGCCGAATATGTCGTTCCGCTCTGCTAAATCGGACCCATTTCTGCTTCTCCAATGACTTACTTTCATTTTTCCAGCTTCACAAATGTTAGTCCCTTCATTTTATTCCAGCACCTCTATTAGGTATATCCAAAATACTTAAAATACACTTCCATAAAGCTCAATAAGTCCATCAACAGTCCGAAAGGTGATCCTTTAAAGAGTTCAACCAACTATAAATGTTACCACTATTTTGGAGAAAAGAAGCAGAAAATTTTGTTTACAACTTAAGGTGCTATTGTCTTAAAGGTATGGGGACTATAGTTTGTCCCTTATCGATTAATAAGTTTTGTCCTCCAAGTTTAGATATTACTTCTCTTGTTTTCTGAGTTTAACAAACCTTGACTAAGTTTCTTTGAACTAAGAAATTCCAGTTGCTTCCTGCAGGTTTTATTTTCCATGTCTTTCTCAAGTCCTTATGTATATCTTGTCACTTTAACTACAAATGATGTGCCTACATTTGGTAGGAGTCTGACTTGAGAATTCAGGAAGCAGGCTAAGGTTATGGGAGGGAGTCTGTAGTGATAATGCCTTAAACAAAATCAGTTTTCAATAAATATTTGCAAATAGTTCATTGATATAAATACACATAATAAAGAGATAAAGATTTGGAGTCCATGTTTAGATTTAATAAATTGGGGGTGGGGGGGCACACGATCCCATGAACTGTAGCCTGCCAGGCAATCCCTCCATGAGATTTCCTAGGTAAGAATCCTGGAGTGGGTTGCCACTTCCTATTGCAGGGGATTTTCCCAATCCAGAGACTGAGCCCTCATCTCTTGCATCTCCGGCATTGGCAGGCAGATTCTTTACCACTAGAGCCACCTATGAAGCCATTAATAAACATGACAACCCAAAACAGGTCCACTCCACTTATATGAGTCAGTTAATCCTAAACTAGATTTAACTGAATTCTCCTTTACCTCCACATAAGGGTATGTCGCATTTCTTCCTCCTCTGTAGGAAAAAGTGCAGAGACCTGGAAGACCACTTGAACCAGGAGATCAAACTTGACATTTCTAGTAATGAGGTCAGCAGATGTTGCATGCATCACAAAAGACCCCACATCTTTCCTGTGGTGTGTGCTGCTCTGCTAAGTCACAAAGGCTGACTCTTTGTGACTCTATGGACTGCAGCCCTGCAGGCTCCTCTGTCCATGGGATTCTCCAAACAAGAATACTGGAGTGGGTTATCATGCTCCTCCAGGAGATCTTCCCCACACAGGGATTGAACCCATGTCTCATGTTTCCTGCGTTAGCAAGCAGATTCTTTACTACCACTAGTGCCACCTGGGTATTCCTTCCAAAACATGCAAATACCAGACAACCTCAAACTGAGGGAAATGCTAAAAAAAAAAAAAAAAAAA